TCCCTCCCCAGGCCCCATATGTCTAGGATGTGTCCAAATCATATTTGTTTTTCCTCCACAGCACTTCCAAGTCTGCATGTTTCTCATAGTGGGCTCTCCTGAACTTTCCTCCTCCTCTTCCCTAGCCTCTTCAACTCACACATCTCCTCTTTTCAGCCTCCTCCAAGGATGGCCAGCAGGGGTCTGCTCACACCATGCAAGAGAGGAACAATTATTGGATTACATTTGGTTTTAGTTTTAAGAGATTCCCATCCTCGTGCCAAAGGTTTGTGCCTGTCAGGTGGAGCATTACATGCAAAAGCTTGTACTTGGCACAACTAAGGGGGCTGAAGCTGTGGAGAGTGAGGTGGGCTGAAGGGCATATCAGCTGCTTGTGTGGCTACATGTTGCCTGGAGAATGGGACCTGGTGCAAGGGATGAGCAGCAGGGGGAGCAGGAAAGATAATAATTCTGTGACAATTTTTTCCCCAAATCACTTACCCGTTGTGTTTGGAAAACAAAATTAATAATCCTTGTTCTGAAAGAACCCATCTGTCTAGATGGCACCATGCAGCCCTCGGAGGATGCTGGCTGGGGCCCTGGGCAGCAGAGTAGTCACAACAGCTTTCCTGGCTTCTCCTGTCATCACCTGCTCTAGCTCAGCCTGCCAGTCTGTCTTAAACCTGGTGTGCAGCCCCCGCCAAGCTCCATTCAAGCCTTTCTCTTTTCAGTATTTCCAATGCTGAGACCTTCAATAAGGTCGAGTTATGTGACAGCTTTGAAATGGAAAAAAAAATCCTCTGACAGAGGCAAGGAAGTGGATCCTCAGCTCATTTCCACATGTGAATTAAGCTGGGCTTGAGTTCAGTCCCGCCTGTGTGAGCAGGTGCCACAGGAGCTCAGTCTGACACCAATCAGTTTGTCACAGTCCTCTCTCCCCCATGATGGGTACAGAAAAACCCCAGCAGAGCCCTTCTGGTGCCCGGGACTCACATTCCAGGTCAGGTTCCTCTCCGGTGAGGAAACGGATCACAGCCTCCAGCTGGGTTAGCTTCCGGTGGTCTGGATCGATGTCGGTGATGCAGTAAATCCTGGTGGGAAGGGGAGAAGAAGCCCGCAAGGGCAAAGAGAAACCACAATTAATGATCAAACGCTCCTGGAAAATAATAACTGCAAACGAAAATTCAGCAAGAAAGCTTGGGCTGCAAAGATTTTGCTGCTGCTGCATGCCATGCCCACTCAAAATCTAACAATGTGGCTGTAAGTCAAACCCTACCAATAAACCAAACACCAATTAATCTGACTGCTGCGCTTAGTAGGGCTGCTGTTATATTCTCCAGCATAAGCTCACAATGCAACGTAGCAGTCCCAAATATGTCCAGCAGTTATCTGTATTATATGTTGTTTAAGATGTGTACCTGTGTCTATATAAACAATAACAATGTGATGGAGAGACCTGAAAAGCAGAGGGTCACGTGCAATGTGAGTAATACTGGATTGGGAGCAGATAAACCAAGAGAGAGAGAAACAAAATGTGAGATGAGTAATGAGCTTGCAGTATGATACGGTGGCAACAAAACCTCTCCCAAAGGGACACAGCTGCCAGAGCCTCAGGACACAGTTTGGGGAGAAGTGGGAGAATATATTACAAATATATTATAAAAGAAACCAGTCTTCTAAACCTGCTTCCAATTTTGATGGCTTCATTGTCAGGACAATGGAGAGGAAGGGGTTATAAGAGAGAATTACAAGTCATAAAAGGGCTGAAAGGAGTTATTTATGAGAAAAGTCTAAGAGAAATGAATATGTAAAGTGTGGTAAGCTGACACCCCAAGTAGGGAGTAGAAGAAGGAGAAGTCACTGCTTGTGTCTCAAATGCACTGCCTGTGAAACTTGACAGTGTAATGAGAGGTGTGAAGGGCTGCAGGACTTCTTGAATATAGTTATTTTGGCTTTGATACAGGCTGGGTTCATGTGCCTGGGTGTAACTGAATGTTGGGTTCTTGACAATCCCAAACCTCACAGCAATAAATGGAAAGTGCCATGCTTCACCCTGTTTCATATCCAAACAAAGCAAAACCATAAATTATGCTTGCTATTGAAACAGGGGTAATAAATCACATCCATGTTCACTAGAAATTAAGTCTAGGCTCAGTTCGGAAGAATGCCAACCAAAAAGAAGCTAGGATTTAAAAAAGCATTTCAATCTCTCACCAAGCTTGCAACAAAATTTCCTGACAGGTCTGACATAACTGTAGGTTTTGTAGCACGATTCTGAGCAACACGAGGAGGAACAAAATAAGTCTGAGCACGGAAGACTGAGGATAAGTCTCAGGAGATGTCTCCTAGCAGAGGGATGAGCCAGGCCTTGGTGGGATCTCCCAAAGGAAGAGGTGGAACTGACTTGCCTGGAGACAACCAGGTCTTTGCAAGTACAGCCCCTGAACAGCACTGCTTTTTTCTCTAGGCTGCAGAGGGCGGTGAGCTCAAGCCAAATTGCTGGGAAGTTTGTCAAAATCTCATGACAAAGTCCTGTATCATTGAGAGGATTTCCTCCACTTACCATTCATTTGCTAAAGACAAGTCTGGCTGGAGCAGGTCGTGCAAACCTGAAACCAGATAATACATAGAGTGTTTGTTTAGGTAGCAGACAGGCAGATACAGGCTGTGAAGGAGAAGTGAAGCAGTGAGGTTCAGAGTAGCTACCTTGTCCCTTAGGATGGCGTGGCTGTTCCGGATTAACCTACCTTCTTCCACTGAAGTGTTCCCCAGCAGAATGTACTCCCCATGTCCCCTGGACAGCACCACACCCAGGCTGCAGGCAGGGAGGAAAGCAGGGGGCTTGTCAGCAAGGAGAGGTGTAATCCCTAAACATGGCACTGCGTTCCCTGCAGTTACAACCCTTAAAGACATTAACTCCCTCCACAGCTATTAAAGAAAAGAACATCATCAAAAGAGGATCCAATTTCAGCACAAGAGGCTAAGGAACCTGTCTGTAGAGCTATGAGGCACTTTTGGTGACAATCTTTTTGGCTAACAATAACATTTCCCAAATTTGTGCCAATTTCAAACCATTTCAGCCGGGGAAAAAACGCAAAAGAATTTTTGCTTGATTTCTTATGTGATGTTTTATAATTTTCAGTTTATAACAATGTTTTTTTTAGAGCCATACACCAGAACTGAAAATTGAAGACGTCTCATTTCTCTGAAATGAAACAACATGCTTCACCTAAGGTATAGCTTTTGGACACTGAACTTCAGATAAATCATAATATTCCTTTTAAGTTGACCCCCCAAAATATTTTAATGGCTATAGGAACAAAGAATTCAGTTATTCACCCTGCTCTACTCATGAGCTGTAGCCAGTTTTATGAAGAAAAGGAACCAATTTGCTGTCCCTGATCGCAGACTTCTGATACACCATATTGGTGTTGTGAGAGTCCTTGCTCACCTGAAGGGTGTGCCACTGATGTCCGTGAAGAAATAATCATTGGTGAGGAAGAGAACTCGTTTCTGGAATAAGAGCATGAAAATAAAGTGAGAGCCCATTTGACAGACCAAGGCACAGTGATGATGGGGACCTGGGATATACGTCCCCAAGGCTAAGTAAAGCAGTTGATCATTACCAACACTTCACACCCTGCTAGGGCTGGCTGGAGGCAGGGATGAATGTGCAGTATTCAGCGTATTCAGCAACTTGTGACTTTTAGGATCCAGGCAGCCACTCTGTCTTTCCATCTAGGGCTTCAGTTAAACCTTTCTTTGCTGCAGGGCTCCTGCTCAGGCTGCAGGAAGGGGTGGGGGGAAGCTGCCTTCCCTCTTGCACCCTCCGAGCCAACGCGCTGGGGCCCTGCTGCTCTTTTGCTGTACAGAGAAACCTTGATGGCTTTGCACATCATCATCATCCCCCCAGGCAGGACGGGGGGCTCAGTGGGGCAGGTAGCAAGGAGAGGTGGGGTCGGAGGAGAGGCAGGGTGGCAAACCTACCCACTGTGTGGGTGGGCAGCCGGGGCCAAGTCTCCCCACTCCTGTGGGAAATGCTGAGATTCCTGACATTTGTTTTCATGCCAAACTGGGACAAAACATTAACATATTCCAATTTTGTTAAAAAACATCAGTAAAAAAAAAAAATTACATTTTCAAATTGAAAAAAAGTGCTGATTCAAATCCAAGCGGCTTTGATTTGCATGAAAATATTTTTTTCAGACTGACATTTCAACTGAAGACATTTCAGATTATTGAAAGCTGCTTCAGAACTTCAGCTGTTTGCCAGACTGGCCTTTTCCTGTAGGAAAGTGTTGATTTCAGTGGAACTCTTTTCCAAAGGAGAAAAAGTTTTTGGAAAGTTTCTATCCAGCCCTTGTGCCAGTATATGAACCCTAATACGTTTAAAATCCCAGCCCCAGTCTGAAAACGAGGTGAGAGGATGTGTGTGGGAGACAGGGAGTGAACACAGAAAACTCTGTGTCCCCCAGGGAAAGTCGTGCCTGCTCTAACCTGCTCAAGCCGTGCAGCAGTGGAAGTGGAGCGAGGCACAAAAGATGAGCCAGCGCCAGCTCCACCGTGTCTCCCTAATTTGTGCACACAGGGGATGGGCTGATGGGGATGGGTGGTGTTGTTAGGTAAGGAAGTGGCAGACGGCTCAACCCCTTCCCTCCCCTCTCTCTCCATGCCTGGCAATCGTGTACTGCTGCACAACAGGGTCCGAGCCTTTTGCTAAGCTGAGATGTTCCAAAAAGTGCTGTGATACCTCCAAGGAACACGGCATGGTGGTGTTTTGGTGACTGTGGGGAAGGTACAAATGGTATCAAGCCTCCCTTTCCTTGCCAGTCTGATCTGATGGTGGAGGAGGGGAGGCGTGGGGAAGAAAAAGACTTGGGGGTGTAGGCCTGCTCCTGGGGGAAAGGATGCAGTAGAAAATGGCCCAGGGGCACCACTACTCTGAGACCCTTTCCTTCAGCAGGGCTTGTTCTGCTCCTCCTTTGTTCCCCTGACCTGCCCCTCTTCTGCACACGCAGCCACTCAGCACTTGCGCCTTGTGGGAGGGAGGGAGGGAGGGAAGGGATGGGTGGCCAGCCCTCCCCAAGACAGCTGGAGGTATCGCCACTTATCCATGGGAAGGAAGAGAAGCAGAGGCACCCTTGAGCCAAGCGGGGCTGAGGATGATCAGGCAGGACTTTCACAGTCACAACCCTTTTGTACCCTAGCTGCAAGCAAAGGCATTTTTGCCACTAAATCCCTCTAACAACTGCCCCTTGTCTTTGGTCCTTATGCTTCCCTCTCTATCTCACTCTGCTCTCAGTGCCTTCCTGAGATCAACCTGGGGAATCAACGTTTATGTGGCTGACAATAATTTCTACCCCCTTCACTCAGCCCTTCTCTCTGTCGTCTGCCTGCCTCATTCTCTTTGTTTCAAGGCTCTGTCAGCACTTTCTTTGTTTCAGCGCTGCTCTGCTTCATCAGCTAGCAGAATACAAGTGGGAATTGCTAAGTTTCACTTCTGGTCCTTGCTTCATGTGTATTCTGATAATAGTAAAACTGTCACATACTCAGCTTCAGTCTCCTATTATGCTTCATAACGCTTGCAGAGTTGCAGAATAAAACAGGTAATATCTCTTACCAAGGCTACCTTTTGTTATCTTTTTTTTCCCTGAGTAGGGGAGCAGAAAGATGTCCCTAAAATATTGAACTAAACAGGTATCTTCGGATGACTCAGTAGAAATGTTATTTGAGGGTGCACAGAGACAGAGAAAGAGGTTAAGCTAGCAAAATAACCAATCTAGACTTACAAAGGATAGATCTTGCTGGAAAACCCTGATTGCTTTTCTGACAGAATAACAAAGGTAATGGATGAAGGGAATAAAGGACATGCAATGTATCTGGGTTTACATAAGGCACTTGAAACAGCTTCTCACGAAATTTTGTTCTAAAGAATCAGTTAAACTGGGCTTAAATAAGATGTGGAGTGAGAACCAGCTGCAGTACTGTAAACAAAACCAGTAAACAACAGGGCATCGAGGGAAAAAGATCTAGTGAGAGGAACAGACAGATTCTGTCTTAGGAGCCCTTATGTACAGTGATCTGTAAGACAAAATAGAACAACATTTCTCTGCATACTGAGAAAAAGCCCCAACAGCCCTAAAAATTAGAAAGACTGGACAAAAAGGAGTGGGATTCACGTGGAAAAATGGCAACTGGAAAAAATAGCTAAAAAAGGCGGAAACCAAGGCAGCTGTGGGAGGGAGGAAAAATTGAAGGGACAGCAGAAAGGAGATTTGGGGCTCCCTGTTTAGAAATATCCTATTGCAGAGAACAGATTCTCCCTACAGAGCAACAGGGAAACGGTGCTCATAATTCAGTGAAGCCCTGGTACTTGTGTACCCAAAATGATACAAGAGACAAAGGGAACAAAAATAATTGTTGGACTGCTTGGACTGAAAAGCGTGCAATTATTTCAAATGCAGATGTTGGCAATGCCCAAGAGAGGAAGGGCAAAGCCATTGACAGGTACCTGATAGTTGCAAACATCAAGAACAGAGAAAGCCAATTTAGTTACAAGATCTAGCAGTACAACCATTCAGAGGAGACAGAGGGGTGTCTTCATTAGGAAATGGCATCATTTCAGCAGTGGCGGTGAGCAGTTGGTGTTTTGGAATTGGTGCTGACTGTGGCTTAGCATGGGAGCAGTTCGGCCAGGCTGATTGCCGAAAAAAATGTTCTCTATAAAAGATGGAAAATTTTCCTGAAATATGGAAGACTTCTGAGCAGTGTAACTTGCAGGACTCTGGAACACTTCCTAACAGGAAATGGTGAAAGCCAAAATCTTTAGGTGAGTTAAATAAACCTGAATGAAAAAGTACCAGTGAACATAAATGTACAAGGCAATTTTGCACTGATTCCAAGGGAAGATGTATAACCCTACATTAGAACTGGTAGGGAACGTTCAAAAGTCTCCATTTCAGTAGGACTTTTCATAAAACGTCTGTAAATATTTGCATAGAAATTTAATCCTGGACCTGGATAGAGGAAATCGCATTCTGACAGAATGAGGGATGAAGTTTTCATGAGTGTTTTTGGGTAGGGAAAAGGAGTTGTAAAATAGCCTCCAAACCTCTTTCTGTCTAGGTCAGCTCAGCATAGTCTTTCCTCATTCTAAACTCTTGAAGACCTCCAATTCATTTCACAGCCCTATAAACAATGAACAACATGGGTTTTGGCTTTGCCTGGACAAAGTAGGGAGCTGTGAGGCATTTCCAATACCTTTGTAAGAGCAGAATGTCGGTAGGTATAAAGAGCACTTCTAATAATGCTCTATTTTATGTCTTTAGCACATGTGTTATATATGTGGTGAAACAATAAAATCCTCACACTCAGAAATGTTGAGCATTAAAACCACATCCTTCATGGTTCTTCAGCATCCATTTCCCATCCCCTCTCTCGTATGACCTGAAAAGAAGAATAATTTCTTACCCCTTTATCCACAGGGACCTTCACATCCATAGAGAGGTAGCCCGTTTCCCCATTGATCATGGCAGTTCTCAGCTGCAGAGGTGAACAAGATTAGTATTAGTGTCTCCAGGCAGGGCAGGACAGGAATTAATACAGCAGCTTGTCATTAGCGAACAGGGGCTGGCAGAAAAGAGTGACTGTTCCCCCCCCCTTTTCCCCCCCCCCCCCTCCCAGCTCTTTCTTGCTTCTTTTAAACTGAGAACCTGTTCTCAGTGGTCAGGATCCTTGTTCAGTCAGGCTGATAAGTGACACAGAATAATAATGGCTTATGCTGAAAGCTTGTTGATATGTCTTTTTAGCGAAAGGAAAGGATCTGGAAGCTATGAAATTGCCAGTCCAAGTTTCAGACTTCACCATTTGGCAGCCAGAAAGTCATTAGCATGGTGCTTTGAGAGCCTGGAAGAGGAGACACCTGAGAAACCCACTAACTCCCCCAGACTGATTCCAAAGATCTTGGACATTTTTTAAACTGATTTATGAATTATAGGCTGTATTCAGCACCACTTCTGAGGTGCAGCAAAGCAGCTGTTTAAGACAGCAAAGCAAGACTGTATGATAGCAGGGTAGGCAGCGAGAAGACCACTTTATTCAATCCAGGTTCCAAAGGCAAAATGTAATTTTCACAGTGACTCTCAGCCTCTTGCAAGAAAGAGCCAGGGAATTTTTCCACAAGTGCAGAGGCTTTAAGTTTATATCCAGCCTGCCAGAGCATATCAGCCTATTGCTTCAGCCTGGACAGGAAAAAAAAAAGGTGGGAAGTAACTTATTCATTCACACAAATTGCTTCCTTACTTCCAGAGACAGGCCTCCATTCAGGTGCTGGTCAGTCTCAACAGCATTTGCTTTACAAGGCCACAGTTCTGTTTATTGTGGCTGTTTGATGTGGGTTATTTACAGACCTAGAATAAAAAGCTTGTGTTTCCCAAGACCCATGCCTTGGAAATCAAAACACTGACTTGTACTATTACTCCTTTATGGCTAAGAGCATTTGACCTCCTGCCAGAGCCACAGCATACTCTCTGTTCTGGTCTGACAGCCCACAGCATTTTCTATGCGTTCTGGGTTTAGTTCAGATATTGTTGCTTCATCCATATGTTCTTGAATGTCAGGCATCTCTCGTTGCCCCATAAGGCAGTGGAGAAGTAAATCAGTGGATATCTGAGATCTCCTTGGATCTCCTCAGCTCCAGCTGGTCTGCACGCAGGCTACTTCTCCTGTGCCCAGCCCCCAGGTGACAGTGGCTGTAGGTTGGTGCCACAATCCTGGCTTGCTGCTTCTTCCTCAATAGCTTTTCCTGCATTGAGAAGTCCATTACAGTCCTGGTGTCTGGGAGCCTCCATAATGCTTGGTCTTTTTCAGGCAGGACACTTCTGGCAAGAGCTGGCCTCAAGTCTGAAAAGCGCGTAGCAGAGTTTGGACGGAGGGGTGGTCTGGCGCATGCTGGAGCACTCGTTCCCACACCCCAAACAGCAAACTCTGCTGCTCCAGGGCAATGAGTCTCTGCCATCCCCATCACTGGCAGCGAGTGCTCCTGAGTCCTCTTCCCTCTCTGCTTGTGTAATTTCAAACCAACACAGACATACAGTTTACCTGAGAGGTCTCACAACATCTAGGTGTTTTGCCACTCAGTTTCAACATCCTTGCAGGCTAATTTCTTCTTCAGTGGTTCTGTCAAGGCTGAAGAAAATGTTTGGGTGACAGCTGCTGGGCAGGATCCCTCAACCGAGAATCCCTTTCCCCCTCACACTGAAAATATCCCTGTATTGCTTTACAAGCAAGCCCAGACTTCCTTGCTGCAGATAGTACTATTGTGCATCAGTTGGGATTTTCCAGACAGTGCCATCTTCCCTCCCCTATATTTCTTTTTAGCAGCTGGCTGTATTACACATCATTAGCACTTGGGCATATTTTTCCAGTCTGAATTTGCTGCTTATCAGTGTTGCTGAGATTATACTGCAACCGATGTTCAGTCTGTCATTGATCTAATACCATAGCTGCAAATCTGAGTGTTGAAATGTTGGCAGCTTTCTGCTGCAGTGGGTGTATCTTGAGAGTTTCTAGACTTGCTGAAGTCACACTGCAGATATCGTTCACGTCACTGAATGTCTCTGTACCCTCAGTGACTGCAACCTTTCTCTCTTCTGGAAGATGCAGTACAGGAAGACAAAGTGGCTTTGTTTTTCATACCTCTTTTGACTTTTTTTTTTTTTTCACTGGATAGTTTTACTCTGATTGCCTACGGACAGAAGCCTTACATTTTGCATCATATTGCCTTACAATTTGCATCATATTCTCATTCAGGTATCAATGTTATTTGGTCAGACAGGAAGCTGCTAGCCAAATAAATATGACAACAAAGCAAATTCCTCTCATTTCCTCGATTTTTTTTTTTTTTTTTTTTTAAAATAGCAAACTGGGTAAAGAGAAGCAGCTCTAAAAGTGGCTCCCGTGAGAGAGAAAACTACAATGGGAGCAGAGCCCTTTGTACTTGGCCTGCACTAGCGACAGCAGCTACTTTGATCCTCTTGCTGGGCAGTTCAGTCGTCCTACCTGTTTAAGTGGATATCTATAGCATCAGATCCGTTTATCTCAGCAGTCTCCCCTGTAATCCAGAAGCATGTGTCCCACAGCTAATTCTATCTTACTCCAAATTCAGTTCTTATCTTAGTAACTTAAGTATCTATTCTCTCCTAGTTCTTCTGAGTAAAAGAAAACCCCCTACAGAGGAACCTCTCCACCTTCTCATTAACTCTGAGTTCCTAGTCATGCAATGTGGCAATGTGCAGCCGTTAAGGTGCATGATGTTTCTTGTTTACCACTTTTTAATAATTGTGCTCAAAAGACAGTAGAAAAGGTATCTTCTTATCTTTTCCCTCTGGTCAGCTATTGTTTTCAGTGCCTCCACACCTGTGCAATACGGTGGTTTCTGGAGACTTGTTTTTCTCAAGTGTCTAAGTCCCTTATTCTCTTTGTCTATTATTAATAGCGACTGCAAGCTTTAGCCTCTTTTTGAATGCACTTTCTCCTTGTTGCAGATCTCATTAGTTGAGGGGCTTCAGCTATGTCTCACATACTACATGTATGGGTATCATCATGGGACACCGCCATACTCCTAAGCTGTCTTGGCTTTGTATTAAGGCAGCATTTGGGCCATGTACACACAGACTGGCTCCCTGGAGCACCCTCCAAAGTGCTTCCTTCCTCCTGCCAGCGCTTTCCCTCCCTGTTCCATGAGAAGGAGAGCTCATACTGGGAAAGAAGACAAGCATTTGTGGGGGAGCATCATTCTTGTCCTCCTGTAGACCCTCTTAGTCAGGGCCAGTCCAGCACAGACAAAAACAGGAGTGCCTGCTGCTCCCCCACCCCTTCCATACAAGCACACAAAGTAATAGAAAGAAAGAGCTACAAAAAAGGCTAAATTCACTTTCTGATACTCACTATTTCATCCTGGTCTTCCCATTCCACTTCTGAGAGATCTACACTGTTGTAGTTTGGCTTAGGCTTCAGTTTCTTTCCTTCTTTATACTGACAGTTATTAACAGGGAAAAAAAAAAAGAAAAATACTCCAGTAAGTGGCTAGATAACTTCCTAAACTATCCCTTTAAAAATTTATATCTAATTTGAAAAATAGAGGTGTCTCATTTATTCTCTGACTGGGAAGGCAGTGTTTGGGTGCAAGTGCCCATGGGTGTCTCGGTCCCATGCCATGAATTTCTTTATGCAGGCGGTGTGGGGCTAGGACAGTTCAAGTGGGAGAGGCTGTTCCAGGAGCAAGGGACAAGCAGGAACACAGGTAAACTCGCAGGTAAAGGCTACAGCCTCCTTTGTGAGAATATTCTTCTAAATAGATCAGTACAATACACTTGCCTCCAGGAAACCAGTTTTTTCCCCACAGCTAAGCGGGTAATCCCATAAACACTATAATACCAGCAGGAGATCTTTTCTGATGGGAATTAGGCTTTGGCTCCACTGACAGAAAGGTAGGCTTTTCACCTAGGGCTAACTGATGCAAGAGAGCTAGTTCCTTGTAATCTTCCAGGTGATGGAAAAGGTGTGAAGCAGACTAAGAGAGGCCAATTTCAGGTGGAGGATAAAGCAGTGCCCTTGCCTAGCTTTGCCTTGCCCCATCCTGGAAACACGATGTGTCCCTTCTCTTCACCTAGCGAAGTAACTACCTATGCCTGTGGTCTCCCTGTGCAAAGCGGTCTTTTTGAAGACAGCTGCTGTGAAGCCTTGTGGTGGCACTTTCCCTTGCCAGTAACCACACTAATGCCTATAGCTGCGTGCAGGTGGATTTGTGCCGACAGGCATGCGTATGAAATGTAAAATCAATGTGTGCCTGGCTATCTGAGTAATGAGGCCAGCTGTGTTTCTGCAGACAGATGCGCGGTCTGGAGCTCCAGGTGGCACTGTGAGGGAGAAACATTGTCCTTGTGTCCGCTCCCTCAAGTCCCAGAAGCTCTTTCCAGCCTACTGGGCTCTAAATTGTCTCTGACTTAACATGTTACTAAGATTTGTGGTACTGGACCATGCTAGCCTCAGATTCCCAAAATGTCCAACACTACAGCTGCTGGGTAGCTATTACTGGGGTGCTACTCATGCTGAATCTTCTTGTAGGAGATATGCCTGAGCGAGGAGAGTTGTTTCTTCAGCCCGGCAGTGAAACCTTGCATGGACACAGACACACGTGCACCCACAGTACAGCAAGTGCACAAAAATACAGCCCTCACATGCGGTTTTATGGAGAATAGACAGGCAGGGTACCTTACGCTTCGTACACGTGTGTGCGTATATACATCTATGCATGTGGAATTGGTTTATCTGGCCCTTGTACTCCTGGGTGCCTGTGTATCAGAGCCTGGTAGTCTTCACAGCTCAATAAAATCCAAGAAATCAGGAGCATCCCTGAAAGCCACTGTTTCCAAGTAAGCAAAGGTTCTCAAATTCATAGCTATACATACCAAAGGACGGAGGTCTGGGTGTGAAAGGATGTAGCCGTTGTTGGTGTTCAGAAAGGCATATCCATGGACACCCAACTGGAGAAAGAGGCATTAGAATAATTAGTGCTTTAGGTAGAAACACTGCTGTGTAATGGGTGCCACTGATACCCTGGCACCACCAATATTCAGAAATATTTTCCTTTTAAAGGTATTGACCAGCAGAAAATAGGGTCGATCCCAAACCATTTATCTCTGGATCTCTGGTGGCTCTGTCCGAGCAGGCTGACTACGCTTGGATGCACTAAAGGATGGGCAGGTAGTTGATTCATGTGCACAGTCAAAAAAAGATGCCCTCCTAGAGTCTCGTGGACAATTACCACCCACAGGCAGAATAAGCTCTCCACAGCAGGCACAGCAGTGCTGCACATAAAACACGAAACATTGGGGAATGTCGTAAACAGTACAGAAACAGCAGTGACAGGCCTGTATGCCCATCACTACATATGCATAGCAGCGAATGAACAAGTGAGTATGAGTCTCACAGATGGCTTCCCTGGAAACCCGGTAGGTCTTCAGAGGAGCTCTGCATTATGTTTCAGTATTGGCAAGACCAGACCTAGCTTAGGCCAATTGTACGAGCCTGTAGTCTTAAAATGCTTTTTAAGGAATAGCATAATCTAACAAGAGCTGACGCTGGCTGACCTGATCTGCAAGAGATTTCAGAGAGAGCAATTACTTGGATCAAGCCCGTATATAATACAAATTCCAGCTAAACCCTGAGTTGCTAAAAACCCACTGATAGCCTGCACTTGCCAAAACAAGAGGTGTCTCAAGGAAAACAAGAATAGCTAAGGTTTCTATCTTCAAAAAATTTTTGCAACTTTATATTCCTATAGAGACGATCCTGGAGGGATAACAACAGGGAAGGGAGGAGGTAAGTCATTTACAATCCGTCTGTGCCTTTTTGGAGGGAATGAATTCTGTATTTCACACATCCCTGATCAAAACTTTGGACTCTTTTTACATGAAACAGTTTTTTGCAAAGCACACTGAGCTCAGCTCAGCGTGGCAAGAATGAATCCAAGACATTGGATCAGGACTACAGCAAACTTCCTTGTTGGCCTATTAAAGCTGAAATTTCCCAGCCCAGTAAGTGCGATCATAAATGCATGAGCTCTCAAGGGCTGTAACTCTGGAACTGGTCCTTTGTAACCCGTATGCCAGGGGATTCAAGCTGAGGATCCTAGGTTTCCAAACTGGTCTGGAGTTGGAAGAGCTTCTGGGAAGTCATGTCCTGCCTCCGATATAAAGAAATCCTTCAGATAATTTTTCCTCCTTCCCTGGCACTGCTTGGAGGAAAGACCAGTGTCCCTCCTTGGCCCAGAAGAAAGATTATTGTGACACATGGCCTTTGAGTGACATGGAGGGAGGAAGATGAAAATTCATTTTCTTATAGAGAAAATAAATGTGTATAAAAATTAAAGCTCCTGGACAAGGTTCCCCCAGACTTGAACCAGCTAGCTTTTGCACGCTGAGTGCATTCACGCCAACACTCATCGTTCCTGGGTGGCCTGAAGGATCATTTCCTACAGCTTCATGTGAATGGTCTGCCCAGCATCTATGTCTGGAAGCGCCACACAAATTCATAGCTTCTGACAGCACTTTCAGTCCTGTGAGGCTTCAGCGATCAGATTTTGGACAACTGCCTAACTGCTAGTAGTTGTCTGATAGTTATTTAAGAGAAACCGAAAACTTGAAATGATGACTCAAGTTGCCTGATTTCGTGGTGATCCTCAGATGTGCTTGCTGTTTCCTGGTGTGCAAACTGAACAAAACGTCACTTCACAGAATTTACAGCAGAAACCAAACTAAACAGTGCATCTCTGTGGGGGGTTTCCTATGGATGAACATATTTTTTTAGATATACTGAATGTAGAACTAATGAAAAGTTGTTGGACTAACAATTCTGGAGGGCAAATACTCTCTCTAGGTACAGCACAAGCGAGTGAGAGACAACTTCCTGTACACTGTCCTGCCAAGAAATCTTCATGGGGATCTGGAGAAAGGAGCCTCTAGGCATGACAGAAAAGTTGGCTTTCCGTAGTCCATTCAGTCCTCAGTTTTTCTGCTAAGAATATTGACAGTGAAACTAGTCTTTTTTTTTGCCAGCTGGCATAGCAGCTTTTGTCCACTGGGAACTGGATATAAAACTTCAAAACTTCTGAGATAGGCTGTCAGATCCGTATCATCTCTGAGGGACCTAGATGGGTGACCATCAAGATGCAAAGGCTCCATGACCTATTGCCGGTCTACTGGATCATCCAGTCCTTGTGTTTCTGAAGCAGCCTAAGAGCTTCTAGTAGTGAATGACTTCCCATGTGTTATATAGAAACTACACATCACCGCATCCAGCCTCTTTTGCTTTATGCTCATAGTTCTTCCTACGGGCAGAGGAATGATTTTTCCGTCATGCCCATGAAAGAATGACTAGTGGCTTTGCTGTGCAAATTAACAAATTGCATTATCTCAGTCTTACCTTATACCGTGGAGCAAGTTTTAACAACTCCCTCAGTGGTACATCAGAGCCCACCACACCCAGGAGAATGCCATGAGATCGCTTAAAAACAAAGGAGAATCCATTTTCAGAAGCAAAACTTTGGTAGCTCTCTACCTGAATACACATTATTGCCTTCCTACTAGTCTCTCACATGTTCTCTCTAGGCTTATATGAATATATTCATTCAAAACCAACTAACATGCCTCAAAAAGTCTCAAGGGGTTGCTCCAGTGTTTATGGAGAGGAGCATTTGTACCCAATACTAGTCAGCATTTCTGACTATGATTCAGAAGTAACACAAAATCATGACAAGAAGTTTTGAGGGCAAAATCCTGCATTCAGTATGTGTAAATAACAGTAAGGGCAAGGCAATCATGCAGAACAGCATTGATCGGTTGATAACTTGGGCCAACTAAACCAAATGTCAAATACAAAATTGTTAACCTAGGAAAAAGGAATGCAGGAAACCCCCATGAAATGGGGAACTGGTTGTTTAATAACCATCTGGGGAGCACGATGGAAAAATGGTACACAGGCTCCCACTGCAGTGCTGTGCTAATATAGCTTAAGGCCAGCCTTAGGTGGAGAAGGCAGACAATTGTTTATAGGATCTGTATGAAGAGTTTATCCCTTGAACACAATGGTAAGGTACCGTCCACCATTTTAAAAAGGATACTGAGAAACTAGAAATGGTCTGGAAAAGACTGTCTAAAGGGTTTCAAAACCCAGAGGAAATGCCCTTATCAAAGACACCTAAATTGTTCAACCTTTTTATCTTATCAAAAGATAGACAGGTTTGACTTTATTGCAATGTAGAAGATGCTTCCCAGGAGGAGATACCAAAGGGTATAGGCTTTTTAATCTATCAGAGAAAGATGTTATGACAGGAAGGTGAGGCCAGACAAATTGGAAGTGGAATTTAGACACCAGTTTTTAACAGAGAGTGAGAAACCACGATGGAGACCTCAGGGCTGGATGCCTTTCTTCAATGACATTTTTGCCAAACACAGGTTATTGGGCTCATGAAGGACTGTCTTCATGAAACGTAAAGGTCTGCAATAAAATGCACAGAGTAGACAAGGTAGTGATCTCTTCCAGCCCGAAACTTTATGCATCTGTGAACTAGGATAGGTTTGGAAATGGAAGGGATAAAACAGGGAGAAGTGTCATATTTAAGGGGTACTTTGAAGAAATAGCATTCAGAGGAAATGACAGACTATCATTTTGTCAGATAAATTATCAGCCACACATCCTGCCGGAGGTCTACTGCAGTCCCTAATGGCCAGCTCTTCTTTCAGAGACCCATTGGCTTTAAAACCCTGCAAAGGTCCACTGCATCCTTTCATCTCCGCTGGCTGGAAGGAGAGCGAAGCCCGCATTGCACTCACCGTCTCGTTCTTTTTGCTGAAGACTGGCATAGCCACTGTTGTCATGAGCAACAGACTTTGAGCCTGAGATGCAAAGAGCTGCCACAGAACAACGAGCTGTGTGTTAGCAGATGCAATACCACAGATAACCCGAACGAAAGGCACTGGAATTCCCAAGGACCCCAGATGCTGATTACAATTAGCCACCTCCTTGCCTCCCACACCCCTCTAAAAACAGATGGCAGCACTTTTCAATACTCTGTATCCAAGAGGATCGTGGGATGGATGCTTGCTCGTGTGGGGTGATGAGGATGGGATGAAAGCCAGTGAAATGTGTTGAAGCAGGAGAAATTAAAGAGCTGTTTTAATGAAGAGACAGGAACCTGTAGAAGTGGTGGCACAATTTATACCCACCACACATTGGGAGTGTAGACATGAGCACTTATGCAACAAGTGTAAAAACCACCAACACAAGGAGCACAGAATAGAGAAAAGCAACACAAATATGAGCAAGATCACAAACAAGTTATCATCTATATTGCAAACACATGAACACCACAAATGAGAAACGCCACAGGCAAATATTTAAAAGGCACAAATACATACAGAGCCTGCTTATATATACTTGTTACTCAAGCATCTAAGCTTAGGAAAAACAGAGACAAAATCATGATCCAAACAGATACAACACGGTGAGCTATCTCTACAGGGGATACAGGACATGCACGTGTAATGGGGTAACAGATGCTCCCAGTACTGCAGAAGACAGATGCTCTAAAAACACACACATGAAAGGAGGTAAAACAGGCAAGGCACATGCAAAGGAGTCTCCCAAACATGCATAGCTATCAAAAGGACCTAATCCCTCGATGCCAGAAGCATCCCCCTTCCATCTCTCATTTGGTCAAGTAAGTAGCAAGGCAAGAAATGACCTCCTGTCTCCATTACTGTACGTACTAGGAGCCATAAAGGAGCCAGTCAATAATCTATGCAGTTGCTTGATGGAGATTTGAGCTTGGTATCTTCAGTTACTGGTCTGGGTGATTCTGTGTGGAAACTTCTCATTCACAGCAACACACACACCAACACACAGCAAGTAAACTTCTCCAGCACTTACTGGACATACGGAAAAAGAGATCCAGTGAACTAAACTACAGCACAACACAGACACCCCTACCTATTCTGAACCAACAGCACAGCACAGCTCTCCAGTACATCCAGCATTTCCTCTCCTCTTCTTGCCAGTGCAAGAGGGCTCCTTCAGTGCTGCAGCCCCCACCCCCCTCCAGACGTACAGGCCAGCTGTGGCTGTGAGCGCTGGCACTGACACACCAACTGGCACAAGGGAAACAGCACGCTCACAAAACACAGGGGTGCATTTACCTCCTCAGACTGTGGCAGCTAGTGAGAGACATTGATGAACAGATGAATGAATACACGAATGGAGGAATAAGTCAAAGATGGGAGAGGCTGGGGCAGAGGAAGTGAATGGCAAGCCAAGCCAAGAGGCAAGAAAAGAGGTGCAGCTCAAAAAGTGCAGCAAACAAATCCCTGTGGCTGTCTTGGGAAGCGTGACACCATACACCGGTGCCAGGGATGGCATGCCTGCTATTAGAATAAACTTTTTGGGTAGCTAGTAGCATTTCTGGAGGTTTTGCTTAGCACACTCAAGTATCATGTTCCCAGCTCTCACTTGGCACAGCTCCTGCAGCAGAAAACATCCCCACGTCACCCTCGCAGAGCTAGTGTGCCACAGCTGCAGCCTCAGTGGCCAGCCACAGCACAGAGGTGAGGGACAGGCTCTTCCCGTGAGAGCACAGCACCTATGCACCATGATGGTGCAAGCCTGGCTGCCTTGGAGGTATTTCTTGGGGTTTGTGTGGTCTTGACTCTGAACACAGTGTCAAGCACCGCCATGTGTGACCTGGGCTTCCATGTTTCCTGCTACAAAGCTAAGCTCAGTACCCCTAGTTTTACTCCAACTCAGAGTGTTCGGGTTTCTCACCATGGATCTTAAACCTGAAGACTGTGGGTACTCCCCAGGGCTGTGGCACACAGCCTAAAGCTGCTGCTGGCCAGACCTGGGCTAATAATTTCAGTCCCACAGTGGGATTGTGTATGGAAACATTCTCAATGTTTCTACAAGATTTTTCCCCTCGGGTAAGATAAACAGTCCTGAGACCTCAGGTTTGTTTCTGGAAGAGGGGAATCTGACTACTGGTCAGCTCTAACTGTCACACTTATGCAGGCGCTTCTCTGGGGTGAAGAGTCTAGTGTGGGAAAAAACTTTATCTCCCTGAAAGCACAGAGAGCCCCAAAAGAAGAACTGTAACTTTCTCTTTCTGCAATGTAGAAAGGGATGGAATTGATGATTGAGGAACATCTATTTGGGGAAGTGCAGGGGAAGGCTCCTTCAGTGGTGGTCTGCTCCTTTGTCCTTCCCTTTACTCCTTTGAATTTCAAAGCTGCCTCGTCAACACAACACTGTAATAGCACCTGCTCAGGGTCCAAATGTCTTAAGTCTTCCTGTAGGTCAGGCCCAAGACAAAGCAAGGGGCGTTGGGAGTGCTGACTCTCCGGTTCTTTGCGATATGTCCTTTACCCACAGGGCCACTGCGGTGACGTTAGTTCTTGCTAGCCCAAGGGATGAAAGAGTGAGCCTGCTTCCCAAACTGAGATCTGTATCTTTGAGTGGCAAGCAGTATGCAGTTAGCTACTGGGCCGGAGGAGATAAATCTCTGCGACCTGTATCCTGAGCTGTAAATAATCTTTCCTGTGAATAATCCTTTAGAAGGTAACCTGCTTTCACAGAAGCACTACTTAAGTCATGCTGTGCATGTGTGATTAGTCCTGAGCTCCTGGGTCACTGCAGATTCAGACCTGAGTCGGCATACACATCTCAACTCCAGGAGTGAGCAGAAAAAATATTGTCTGTCTCAGCAGGGCCAGAGACCAGTAATTTCTATCAATCAACCAACCAGCTCCTGGTTTTACATAAGTTTCAGGACTTTATTTAATTCTGATACACATAAGATACGTAGATGTGAAGCTGGGACAAGTTGTATGCCTAACATACTAGCTGGGTGCCTAACACCTTTCCCAGTTTGGCCCATAGGCCCTACTGTTTGCTGACTAAAGACTTGTGCTGTAGGTCCTTACCGCACTGTCCATGTAGGCTTCAGTCCAAATAATGTCGTGGTCGTGGTTGATGACCATGGGGCGGCTGAGCACATGCAGGTACTCCATCACGTTCTCCTGGACGTCCGCCAGTGTGGAGATCTGAGTGTAGTAGCCTTCATGGAGAAACAGAGGTGTGAGTCACTCTGCTAACACATCTTCCATATTTTTAAATGAGTGTCTGTGCAAAGCTATAAAACTGGATGTCAAAGACTAAATTACCTATTTCCAGAGCTTTCTCCCTGCAGATGGACCCATAACAGTCTAACACTACAACAAGGAGTACAGGGGAAGAATGTTTTCAAGTTATCAAAAGGTCCTCTAAACTAGCTGCTTAACTGGTTAGAAATGCTAACACAGTGTAATGTCACGAGAACTCTTGTCCTTCTTCTCACCACATGGAACTGATTGGTTGTACTCGGTATAGGACGGAGTATGTCAGATGGGAAACTTTTGTTATCACTAGGAAAACACTGCCATGTGAAAGGGTTCATGATCTGATAAGCTTTGTGGTGTGGAAACAGATTTAGTATGCTTGAAAACAAGGACTACAAGAGCTATACAATGTGTTGAAACAGAAGAAACAGAATCAGTGAGCCTTCAACAGAGCTCAAGTCCGGTAAGTGAGAATTCAAGTGCAAAGAGCATATTTTTATTCTCTGTTTGGTTATTCAGGAGAATCCATTCTCACATTTTATGGTGAACCAGCAGCACCGTGAATTCCCTGTCACTAATCTCATGGCTGAATATGCGATCTGAAATCCAGGGTTTTGTTTCATCCAACAAAAACTAAAAATGTTACGTGTGATTCATGGTGCTAATAAACGAACACTTGAGCCTTGAACCTCCCCAGCTCACAGCTCACATTCTGCAGGCCAGCAGCTCTTGTCTGTCAATTATTTTCAGTAGCAAATGCACCCATGCATTTCATAGTCTGCTGAAGCCACTGCTCAGACAGGAAAAGAGTCGATATACCTATAGCTAGTCAGCCTCCAACTTCAGTCTTCCCTTCCTTTCCCTGTTTAAGAAGGATACTGGTGTAGCAAGCATTGCTCACTGTCTCCAGACACACTGAAGCCAAGTCATGCCCAAACAGGACCAAAAAAGGGCCGACCCCCCCCCCCCCCCCCTTTACCCTTGCAGACTCTTATAGGGCTAACTGGACTTTTTAACTGGCCCCAAATGCATAGAGGTGACACACCTGCTCTTAATGGATTTTCCCATTCATGGCATTTCATGCCAGCTAGAGAGAATATTGGTTTTGGGTTGGGATTAACAAGCTATTCTGGTACCTCAGTGAAACCATGGACGCACAAAGAATTTGGCCAGGATATAGGGGTTAACCAGCAGATCTTGTGAAAAATGCTGTAAAATCTTTAAAGAAGAGATGTTCGTTTTACATCTCAGCCAAAAGATGTCAGGCTTTCTGACAGAGGTTTAAACAGATTGTCAAAAGCCAGCATCTGGGACACAATAAGCACAAGGACTTAGGTGGACTACAGCCAGCATGAATCTCGGTCATAGTGTCCCTTGGCACCGTGACAGGAAAATGTGGTGGCTCAGCACAGAGGACTTGCATTAGTTGGACACAGGCACGCTTCACGTGGACTAGCAGGGCCTGCTTTTTCCTTAGATTGTCTTCCAGCCAAGGGCTCGTGGGCCCCAGCTGTAGTGGGGAAGCTTCAGAGGGGTCCAGGGCCCCGTGCCTGCAGCTCACGTGTGATGTGTGTGATTGGGGCTGGGGAACCATTCCCATACAGCACCTTTGTTGTTGCAGGCGATCCATTTCACGTTGGGGGCAAAAGTGACCTCCCGTCCAATGAGGTAAGTGAAAACCCGGACCTGCGAACAAGAACGCAAAGACAGAAGAATTAGGCTGTAATGTACTACCGAATCCAAATGGCCGAGGTTTGGCATCCTGCTATACACTGGTGTGAATGCCTGTTTGTGGTGCATAGCAATAGCTCTGCCTTCACACAGAGACAGGAGCCTCTCGCTCCATTTGTTTCGCATTTTGTGGGCTGGACCTTCATTTCCAATTACAATAAGCCCAGAAAGCCAAGTAGCACCCGGGATCATCTGAATAACAAGGCAGAAGTGCAAATTCTGTTTGATTTTATGATAGCAGCTCTGCCAGGCACTCAGCAACCACATGCAGAGAGGTTTATAGCTCACAGGAATCCTTTACCCAGAGGAACAGCTGGCCGCATGAATCATTTAGAGAAAGCTTCACCATTTCTCTTGTGTTTGACCAACAACAAAAGAGCCAATCCTGAAATAAACTGCTTTAACAGCCCCATGCTCTGGTCTTTCAGTAGCCTGCTTCTCTCTCTTTCTGCATTGCTGCTAGCTGGGATGAGATAAACAAATAAATCAGGAGGGTTTAGGATGAGCCCTAGTTTATTCCACTTTCAGTCTGCTCTGCTAGTACAAGCCTGCAATCACAGACCTCAAAGTAAATAGGGCTGGAAGACACCTAGAAAGGTTGTCTGGGCCATTCCCCTGCCCACCATAAGAGCTGGTAATAGCCAAACCTTTCTCAAACAGTACTAATTATAAACAGTCCTGGATGGGACTAAAATTCTTTGCAAAAAAAATTTTTTTTTTTTTCAAATACTCAGCTCGGTCTTTATCATCTTATCAGGAGAATGTTTTGATTGCCCACACCGTTAGAAAATGAAGCGTATGAAAAAAAAATAATCTTCACTGACCCACAGATATCCATTTGTGATCCTACCACCTCTAAAATCACCACAGCAGGCTCCTGCCTGGCTGCTTTGTTTTGTGTCCACAGCCGGACGCACGTGGATATTGGAGGACGTGAATGCTCCGCTCTGCCCGTCGTCCTGGCTCACGCTCTTCTATTCCCACCATAGCAGGATAGCACCTTTCCTTGCCCTTTCTATTATCACTCCCCAGACAAACCTTCCGATCTGGCCAGTTGTATTTTTCAAACACAGCTTCATAATCCTCCACTGCTCCATCTGTGATCAGCATGATAGCTTGGTTACACAAGCCTCCTTGACCGGCATCTCTAAACTACAAACAGAGACGAAGAGCATTAGTTACCTCGGCACAGGCCGTTTCTGTGTAATGGCAGCGTATTTATTCACGATGGGCCAGATCCTGACTTGTTCTTGCAACTCTCACACTGTGCTCAGAAAGAGCTCTGCTTAAATAAGGACTGTGTTTGTATAATTTTTTTATTTATACAGCCCTTCCTAGCACTTGTGGACACAGGAGGCTTTACAGAAGTAAAATAATAAGGAGAAAATAAGTGCTGTGGAGCAAGGGCGTGATTCCCTGCTGCCTTGCATCTTGCACAGTCGCATTTGTTTATGCAAAACGACTACAGACTGACCGCAAACACTGCAATTCTGATTTGACAGCAATAACTGTCACTTTTTATGGCAGAAAATGTGAGAGGAGGGTGGAAATCAGACTCATTATTTCAGGGTAAATCCATCAAGCTGCCAGAAAAGAGCAGAGAAAGGCAGGAGCACACGAAAAGAGAAGGCTACTGCCATCAGAGCTGAAACAGGTTATGAATGTGCCAGATAGAAAGACCATACACAGTAATGACAGATGATCTGTTATCTGTGCATAAGTGATATTTAAGGTAGAGTGGAAGTATACTGGGACTCTGGCACAAACGTTGATGTGCTCCCAAGGACACACGGAGAGGTGTCCTTGCCTTACAGGCAAGCCCGACCTCGCCTGTTCAGCCAGGAGGACCAGCCTTCCGATGCTGCTTAGCTAGTGCTCCTGCATGCAGAGCCGTTTGCCTCTCACCCCCTCAGCTACACCAGCTCCAGAGAACCAAGTGCCTTATGCAGCACCAACCCAGGTGTTGAATTAGCAGTCACCAGAGGAGGTAGCAGAGGCCATCAAGGCACAAAAACAAGCAGCTGCTTTGCTGCAGCTCCCAGCTCAGCGTCAGTATGCACTTCTTGCACGGCATCTCACCACTTCTACGCTCTGAGCAAGGAAAAGCCTAATCACCAAAGGAGGATACAAAAACTGCTGCAGAGTAAAAAAATACGGCAAGAGGAAGATATGACAGCTCTGTACAAGAGATTAATGAGAGGCAACAGCATGGGATGGAGAGCTTACATGAGACTAATTGAGGGGTGACTAAGGTTATACTAAACACAGCAGCAATCTTAAACTGGAGAGGGTAGTTATATCTTACAAGTGAGGAAAAAGGTATCCAAGTGGTAAGACTAATTGCATAAAATAAAAGCAAGGACTGGATGGGAGAACAAGAGCACAGTGTGTGAACTGGGACTTCTTAGATGTTTTAGGGTTCAATTCACAAGTCCCTTCTGGTTTGGTAATGCTATGTTAGGACAAAAGGCAAATGCCTTTACTAACACGGATGGTACTGCGGTTCCACTACAGATTAACATCATGACCACCAATACCTGGAAGCCAACTCCAAGTCCAGATTTCCCCACTCATTTCACCACTCCTACAGTTACCTCTGTGATTGTCCCTTATTATGAAGTTACCAGGTTCAGTGCTAATATCACCATAACATCTCCTTCCACCACCATTTATGTTACCAGTCCTGCCTCCTTTAACATTACTTTTAATATCACTGAAGTACCTGTTACTCTACTGCAGTAAGCGTGGATTCAACAGCTTCTCAACAACCACACGTATGAACCCATCTCTCCCTGTTTCATGAGAATCCGATTACTTGTATCACTGACCAGAATCAGTACAGATGATCACGAGAGAGAAGGGTGGTGTGACAGGGTAATTTCTAACTAGCTGTTCTCAGGCAAAACATCCATGTGAATTACTGAATCAGGATGAGGTGGTTGGGCGTGCTCCTCCTCTTTCATATCACCAGAGCAGCACATTCAGAGGGGAGACAGACTGTACCTCTGCTGCTGTGGTCATGCCAGTGGGGATCTCCCATGTCTTTCTCTACAGAGTCCCCAAGGTCTGACATTTCCAGGGGTCCAAAAAGCTTCTACACCTTATACCACAAAAAAAAAAACCAACCCAAAACATCAGTGCCAGCTACAGGGTAATTGGAGCTCCAGGAGGGGTCAGAGCACACGTGCCCCCTGCTCAGCAAGGAGACTCAGGGCAAAGGCTGAGGGTGCACAACCGGAACAAGCACAGGATGCTCTTAGGTGCAAACGAAAGGGGAAAAGCAGTTGACAGCCACATGGGATTCTGCTGCAGACCATCAGGTAGGAAGAAGAGAAGGAGTCTCAAGTGAGCTATTCCTAGAACAGAGATCAACTGTGTGCAGATTAGCAGAGAGAATGGCTAGTGTGAGTGTCCATTAGGAAGGCATAGGGTTACCATGCTGCAGGAGATGCTGTCAGAATGAGGTTCAGATCACAGATATGCAAACCTTGTAGTTATAAAAGCAGCTTATTCCAGACTGTTGCAATCTACAACGTTTTGTTTAGACAATTATTAAATTAACGCTTAATGAAGGTCGGCCACCATTTCATCGAACTACTTAAGACATCTATTCATGTAGCTTACTTCAGACCTCATAATACTGAGATACTGAGGAATTAGATCTTGTATCAGAACCAGCAATCTCCTAATTACAGGAGTAGATGATATTTTCAACAGGGAAAATGAGATCATCAGTGTCATAGAAATAGAGATTAAAAAGACAGATTTAGAAAACAACTGAACAAGAGGTAATCCCTGATTTTTAGGTCCTTTTGTGGCTGGCTGCAGCTGTGGCAAATGATCTGACAGCATTCACATCAAGCTCTGAGCATAATTCCCTGCTCTGACTGAAGTCTCAGGAACGTGAAAGAAGGGGAGACGAGGAACAAGATGTCCACAGAACAGATGTCTGAAGAGATGTGGGCTAGAGCTGCGGTCGGTGAATAAGGCACGGAGCTACATATTCTCCTGTATAATTTTGGTCACATTGCCAGGAGTAACAGGCATGATCTAATTAATTCAGGCTCATCGTCTTTTTTACTCTCGTTTGCTCATTGTCATTTATTTTGCAGTTATAGCCTGGCACAGAGTTACTAGTGAAGCAATAGGAACATCAGCATAGCTCAGTGATGCGCTGGCATGCATGCTGATTATATACACATCTGGCCAGATGACTGAGCAGCCCCTCTCTGTCTCCTCCTGCCCCATTCTTATGCAGACCTGCCTCCAGAGTGGCCTCCAGAATTACTGAAAACTCAAACTTAGTGGAAAATGCCTCATGGGTAGAAAATTAGCAGTAGAGAAGGAAACAGAAAACCGGCGAAGAAGAAACGAGAGATGGCATTAAGCAAAATGGCATAAACTGGTAAACAGGAAATCCTGAGCTTTGCATATCCTGAAAAATATGCTGCAGAATCCAGGTCCATAAAAATGTGAGTGGAATCAAGAAAAGATTTATAAACGTTCAGAGAAGCAGCAAGAAAGGGAGTAAAAAGAGTATGTTGCCAGATGATAAAAAACAGAGGGAAGTGGTCAGGCAGAGATGCTTTATAGCCTCCATACTTCATCATCAAAAGGACAATATTGTAATGGCAGGCTACCCACTGAAGTGATAAGAAACAAAGAAAAGAATGAATGAATTACAGGCAGGGTCACAAAGTAGTAGGGTTAAAGAAAAAGTTAATTGAAAGCATTTGAATAATCTGTGCTCAGCAGGA